CGTGTAATCCATTTATTTCAACAAAGTAACTGTATTCTAAATACCACCTTTTTAAACGGTAACTGTAACGGAATACAGTTACTCATATTTTGTATTTTGAATACGTAACGGCGGTACATGTATTCCGTTACTCCCCAACACTGTCCATAATACACCCATCCCCTGTAGTGTCATCAGAGAACTTCTGCAGGTAGCATGTTTAACTGTTACACTGGACGTCTGAGGAGCACAAGGTAAACAGGAATGGTGATAGTACCGCCCCCTCTGGTGCCCCAGTATTACTAACCACCACAACAGACAAACTGAGACCTCTCTGACAGATAGTCAGCACTCCAGGAGACAGTAGAAGTGGTGATCCATGATATGAACTGATCTCAAACACATATGGATTGTATCAGTCAGTTGTTGTGGCTGAATTTCCTGACAGTACCCACCTATCCTGTATGTGGGTACGATCTTAATATAAATCTGCCTCCTAAAACTTGTTTGCACTGATTATTTTGGTGAAAATGCAGGTAGAGTATTTATCTTAACACCCATGGGGTCTAGAACCTTAGCTAAATGTCAACAAACCTGCTGCAGGGCTGTTATTGAAGACCAGGCCAGGTGTAGATATCTGAAGTATGATTCCAGAAAAACATGATTTAATTATAAGCATGTGTTGATGGTCCTCAGGTATCTTCAGGATCAACGAGAGGAAGCGCTGTCACTTTTAAACCAATCAGAGGAGACCATCAGGGAGCGTCATGGTGATGAGAGTGAGAGGCGGCTCATTGTGACGTATGGAGACATGGCCTGGCTGAAATATCATGCTGGAGACTTTGCACAGTCACAAAGCTACTGTCAGAAAGTCGAGGACATACTGGTATGTACACCAATCAGATCAAATGTTATCGATCACATGCTTCTGAACCTCTGACTGCAGCTGAACCTTCTCTGTCTGCAGGTGAAGTATCCCACTGGTTCATCAGCAAGTCTCCTTCCAGAGGTCTACGGAGAACAAGCCTGGACCTACCTCAAGTTGTCAAAATCTTACTACTTAAAAGCCGTTGACAGTTTTCGTAAAGCACTTGAGATACAGACTGATGACATTGAGTGGAATGCTGGTTACGCCATTGCCCTCTATCGCACGGAAGAGGTCAGTTTTATAAGTTTGATATCAGTTAATGAATTTATTATGTTTATATTGTTCTAAAAAACAGCCAAATCATCAGTTTCTAAAAAAAAAAAAAAACCCACAGCAATTCATTGGGGTGTGGTTCTCAGCAGTTCACAGTAGACTAACCAGTTTCTCATCTGCAGTGGGTTTTAGAAAACTTACAGGAAACTGAAGAGCCTCCATCCATCAAACAGCTTCACTTTGCCCTGGAGCTCAACCCCGATGATGCTGTTCTGCAGTCCATGCTGGCCGTGAAGCTCGGAGCCTATAAGAAATACGAAGAGGCTGAGTGTCTGCTGAAGAAAGCACTGAAAACTGATCCTGATAACCCTCATGTCAGCCGCTACGTAGGAAAATACTTTCGTAATCATGTGAGTCTGAATTTGGATATTATAAATGCTTACTACTCATGCAGCCACAGATAATGTGATTCTTCCAGGGTCATGTAATAGAAGAGTCAGTGGACAGGTCCATGAAGATCTTTTATTTAAAGATGGTAAAGCATGCACACTTACCCTACATCAGCTCCAAAGAAGGCTGTCAAAGATGTGCAGCTCCGTACATTTTAGCTTCCACAGAGTTTTAGATTATCTGTGATTGTTGTTAAAGACTAACTCTGCCTTTTCTTAAATGAGCCATGCTGGTTGGGCTGGGTTTCCATTTCTCTAATTCTGATGTGTTTCTGTCCTTTTATCTGTAGTTTCACCTTCCTGAATTCTCCTGATTCAGAAATAGTAAAATCTGTATTATTTATTCTGACCAGTGACCTGAATCAGGCTTGAGACTGAAATGACAGATTACTAAAGTTTGTTATGCTTAATTTAGTGGTTTTGAGTTCCTTCCTTCAGTGAAGACAGAGGAAGTTAATGTTTCCACTAAATTGTTAGATTAGATTAGATTAGATTAGATCAGATTAGATTAGATTAGATGAAACTTTATTAATCCCTCGGGTCGGTTCCTCCGGGAGATTCAGTAATTGTTGAGGTGCTTCTTCCAGAATTGAGGCATTCTTCTTTAGTTTTTTACTAATTTTTGTAAAAATGACCATTAAATGTTGTTTCAGCATCAACTGGACGAGTCTATTGATATGTTGGAGCGAGCGTTGAAGAGAACCACCCAGTCATCTTTCATCCACCACCAGCTGGCGCTGTGCTACAAGAGGAAGAAGATTGCTGAGCAGAGCCGCAAGCCCTTCAGCAACCAAAGTACGCTCAAACATACTGCAAGCCTAAAGGTCCAGTTATCCCCAAACTCAGAGATAAACCATGATTTTTGGCTCCACAGGAGAGGTGCGGTACTGGAGGCGTAGTTGTATTCGTGAATTTGAAATGGCTGTTAAGATAAAGCCGTCCTTTCATCTCGCATGGGCTGACCTGGCACTGCTGTATGCAGAGGAAAGGAATTTAAGAAGGTACTCCTCTGTGGAAAGTGACTCCTGTTTTTTACTGGGTGCAAGTTTGTCATCATCATGATCATCTCTTTGTTTCTCAGGGCAGAGGAGATTTTCCAGCAGTGCTTGTTGAAGTTACCAGAGTGTGATGAAAGCCTTTCTCAAGCTATCCATCAGCGCTATGGTGACTTTCATTACCATCACAACAGAAATGAAGCTCAAGCCATCGTTCACTACACCAAGGTTGGTTAAGAGGTGCAAAGCAATCGATCGAAATACGATTAAAATTAGTATTAATTGGAACGTGAATCACATGACTTCAAAACTCTGTCACGTGACCAGCACAGAGCCCTGAAGGGCAAAACATGTCCCAGAATAAAGCAGTGGACACAGCAGCTGTACTGGTTTGTTGTTGTAAAGAGAGAGCTGAGCTTGAAGTTGACTCTGCTTATTTACTGATCAGTCCACCTTCACCTGTAGCCACGAGTTGTGGGCAGCGACTGAAAGAATAAGATAAACGATCCTAGCAGCAGGAACGACCCTCCTCTGAAGGGTGTCCAGGGCTTAGCCTTAGAGGTGGGGTGAGGAGTTTTATCCTACTGGAGGAGCTCAGAATAGAGCTGCTACTCTTTCACCTGGATGTCTCCTAGGTGTTTGAAGCATGCGTTACACGAGAATATCTTCATTTTTCCAGCACACTCTGGAAAGATTATAATCCTCTGCTGTCTTGGGAATCTTTGGTATCCCTTCCAAGAAAGTTGTATCAAAAGAGATCTGGAGAAAACTTCTGTCTTTTTGCTAAAAGGTAGTAGATGTATGCACTAAGTTGAAAAAAATCTACATCCGAAATCCACATAAGTCATGTATCATTTTACTAAATGAGTAAAAAGTCCCTGCAGTAGCTCGTCTTAATGGAAGCACTGGACAATGGATGATGGAGGTGGAGCTGCCAGGCATGGAAAAGAATCCATGCCTTAAATCTCATGTCTAAGGTAGGGACCACAACTCAGTGTCTGAGTGTCTAAGGCCATGTCCACACTAATACCATCCATCCATCTTCATCCGCTTTATCCG